ATCTTGAGCACCATTCATGTCATGATCCCTCACAACCAACGAGGCAGCAACACACGGGCATCGTGGCAGCGAAAACTTGCCAATAGTCTCGCAGAAATCCTGATTTGGCAAAGAACCGAGACAGCCGCAAAAACTGATTCTCGTTTCGTCAGGGCGATGGACGCACTCAAGGCACTTCCCGATAGCATACACAAAGGCAACATTGAAAAGGGACAGGCGCTCATACAGCAGTTGCAAACATCTATTCGCAAACACCGACAGTTGCTCAACAATCATGCTCGTCAACAGGGATTCCTTGTCGCGTCGTCCTACCAGATTGACAAGACTTCAATCACGTTCAAAATGATACGGAGAGCTAAAGTGGGAGATCTCAAGGTGTTGGAACTATTGGCGCGCAAACACGGCGATGCACGCACACTCAGACTCATTGCCAAGCGCCATTTGGATCCGGACAAGGCCATACCGATGGAATCCATTCAGGAATTGATATCCAATTGGGTTGGTATTGGTGGTGACGATGACAAAGATGATGAATTGGCTGCCATTGAGCTTCAACTACAAGCCAGCATGGTCCAGGCTACGCTGGACAAGTTACGCTGTCCAGAAACCGACAGACCCGTTCTGGTCACCTGCGTGGGAGCCGATCGCGACAACATTGTGTGTGCCATCCTAGTGGCCGCTAGTGTGGAAAACAGTCGTTTGAGTCTTGCTGGCGAAGTTCATGATGTTTCCACGACGGGAAAATGCATCGATTTGCTCAACCAAGTCTTGGTCCAATCCAAGTTCCTGGTGGACGGAGAGCAAGGATTTATGGCGGTTGAGGAAATCCTAAACAATAACCTGCGCAAGGAAGACAAATCCAAGGAGGATGTCATTGTGCTCTCGTCAAGAGATCTGGAGCTCGACGAACACGTCTTGAAGGAATTTCAGGAAAGGGACCTTACGCTACGTGTCCATGCAACTTCCAAGCTTGTGGCGGCGCCGACTGGAACGGTGCAACTTTCGCTCAACACGACAATATATGACCGGATCAAAGCACGACAACCGCTGACGCTAGGGGTTGTCCTGGATTGCACCGGAAGCATGGGAGGAGAGATCGAGGGATGTAAGAAAGGGGCCCTTAAGCTCATTTCCACATTCCAAGAGCTCGCGCCCGTCACCGCGGTCAATTTTATGGGATATTGGGATCCGGTCAATGTAAGCACAGATCCCCAACCAAAGAGCACGGGATACTTGAACACTACGAATCGCCACCACCCAGAGAATATGACCGCTCTGACGGAATTTGTCAATACCCAGCTCGTCTGTCAGGGAGGAGGAGACGAACCGGAGGACATTCCCCAAGCCTTGGAAAAGTTTATTGACGACATGAAAACAGCCGGTTTGTCAGCTGATAAGGGTGTCCACATGCTCTTTTTCATTGCCGATGCAGGATACCGAAGCAACGAGGAGCATCGAATGCGAGCGGCACTTGAGATATTGAAGAAATTGGGTGTTGTCCTGGTCATGTGCAAAGTACGAGGAGGCGGGTCCATTCAGACCTTGGTGGACCGGTCCAAAGAGTGTTTCCAAGAAGATGGACAATTGATATTGCTGGGTGGAGTGGGCCAGCTGGCATCTATTGCAGCCAGTGTGACTGAATCCATCCGAGCATCACTCTTTCAATCGAGCAATGTCGTATCTGTTACGGCATCAGTGGGCAGCACAATTGACGCGATTGCAAAGCTGGTCAACTTCCAGGAGGATCACGAGGCCTTGAAAACGAACGAGGAGCTCACAAAGGATGAGAAAGCGGAGGATGTCAAAGGAGTGTTTGCGTCCAAGAAAGAATACACCTTGACCTCTCGTGACCGCCTGTATCTGCAGCTGTCTCGTCTTCCTCCCTTGTGCCACGAATCCGTACAGTCGGCATTTGGGGGCAAGACCCTGCAAGAGCTCTCAGCAGCAGCAATTGCCAACCGTCTGCGTGCAGAAGGTATCCCGGTTGTCAAGGTAGAAAAGGCTGGATATCCTGAGGAAGTCGTAGAACTTGTGAAGAATTTGATGGGAGGACATGGTGTCATGCGGGTAGATGGTTGAGCGTGCATTTCATGCCCATGGCAATCAATGCGCTCGATGGTATCCCGTCACCAAAACAAAGCCTTTTCCACAAACACAGATAATCGTCCTACTTTAAACCCCCTCCTGAACATTGCACAATAGCGGTACCGTACACACCTACGAAGCCGTACCGAAACCGTGTCCTGCTTGAATTGATTAAACCCACTTCCAGTAAATCCTTTACTGAGTACTAATTACTGAGTACTCAAGAGGAGAAGAAGTAGCCCTACAAATAAGTCTATGTGTGCTAATTGTGTGTTTTAATAGGAGGACAGCTGAACAGGATTTATCGAGCTTCAAGTGGAAGAGAACACGTGTACCGGTACAGTACGTACAGAGAGAGCAATCCAAAAGGGTTCTGGCTTTAGGCTGCCAACTGACTACGATACGGTATCTGGCTCCAGACTACTACGGTAGTGTACTAGCTAGTCTAGTACTTTGCTCGAAAGCCGTGGGAGTCGTGATCTGGCTCGAAAACTTTGGGCCGCGCACCTCCAAAACGCCTCGGAGCTCCAAATTTATAGACCCAACTATTATTAGCTAGCTAGCTAGTATGGGATAGCGGGCAATCGTTTCATGCACAGCGTTCTTCTTGAGGTATCAAATATCAACTATCAACCATACCAACGAAGAATCAAGATGATGATGATTGGCTACGGCTACGGGAGAAGACGCTTTGCTCCGTTGCTCGTTTTGTTCTTCGTTTTGATATGTTGTCAGAAAGCTAGAGCATATGCAGCTACCGGTACCGGTATGCAACTCAGGGATGTGGGAACGGGTACCAACAGTACTGGTACTGGTACTGGTACTGGTACTGGTAGTAACTTCACTGTGGTATCTACTGGAAGGCAGCGAATACGAAGGAGAGCTCGACCAGAAGGCAAACGAACTGGGACGAGGGGCGAAACTCGTGGTCGTGCCGCGGCCGGAGGGGTCAACATCACCAAGACGCAAAAGCAGGAACGGCGGTTTTTGAGGGAGACAACAAGGGGGCGACGAGCCATCAAGGAATCTAGGGAAAATATCTTTGCAGGCAGAAATCGTATTTCGGCAACCGCGGTCATGGAGAAATCGTCCGCACAGGAACGGCAGCGCGCCACGGATATTGGTACGGATCATTCAGGGGACCACGTCGACGAGGGAAACTCCCTTGTAACAGTACTTACGAGCTCTGATGTCAACAACCTGACCTCGAGCAACACGAGTGTAAGTCGGGGGCACGAAAAAGGATTCTTGCAAGGAGTCCTTGTATCTCTGCCCCTAGCTTCAGCAGCGGCAGTTCTCGGTGCAGGTGGCCTCGCAGCCATACTCTGCATCACCCAAACCATCTGTCCCACCACTGAGACGCAGCAAGTCATCGAAGTTAGAACGTCCGGAGATGTGGTTTTTAGGAACCTACCAAGACCCCCAACCCAGGTAGAAATCGCTGGAGTGGTTGAGCAGATTCAAAACTTCTTTGAAATCCTCATTGCCCGGTAAGTGCAGTGCAGTGCAGCAACGTCAAGTGCGTGTCATGCCCATTACAATGTCGTCATGATGACTGCATGCCCCTCACAGAAAGTGCTTTCCTCGACCCTGCAATTCCAAATTTTAAGTGAACTGGGAGCAGTCGAGAAAACAGCAACCCTCCTAGCCACTGCCCCGACAACTTTTATCTCATATGATGTGATATCATACTCTGAAACACTGGACAATTTTACGGTAGCATCGTCTTCATCCGTGCAGGGTGAAGGGGATTTATCCGTATTTTGCAACCAAACTTTGCGGGTGAATGGGAACTCCTCTATAATGGTCGAGGACGGACATGAAGTGTAAGGACAGTGCCATGTGCAACTGTGGAAAGCTCCTTCCTGCTTGTTGCTATTGCGCCAGTTCTCAGTTCTCACACTTAGTCTTTTTCTATCACATCAAACGTTCGTGCAATGAACATTTTCCCTGCCTGCAGCTCACAGAACATCATTGACCTGACAACACAAAACCCAAACCTAACGGATTTCTGTCTGAACTACGTGGCAAATGCTCAACCACCGGACAGCATCTACAGGAACATTAGCTGCACCGAGTTGAACATCGATTTCACTTCCACAACAACAGAAGTGCCATCATCGTCACCAACATTATCGCCATCAACGAGCCCCAGTTTTTCGTCTGAACCTTCAACTCAGCCATCTACAAAGCCAAGCATATCTGCACAGCCCAGTGCCTCTGCATCTCCTACCCTATCGGCACAACCTAGTAGCTCGTCGCCTCCTTCTGCTTCCGCACAACCAACTTTGTCAGCATCTCCTTCACTATCGGCACAACCAACTTTGTCGGCACTCCCTTCACTATCCATTGCTCCTTCTGCTTTGGCACAGCCAACTATGTCGGCACACCCTTCCCTATCCACGGCTCCTTCTGCTTCTTCACAACCAACTTTGTCGGCACTCCCTTCCCTATCCACGGCTCCTTCTGCTTCTTCACAACCAAGTCTTGTGGCAGAGCCCAGTACTTCTCTGTCTCCTTCATTATCGTTGCAACCGAGTCTTTCGGCAGCTCCATCAGGTTTGAGTGAGATGCCATCTACAAAGCCCAGCAATTCTATAGTACCCTCCACACAGCCCAGCAATTCAATGCTTTCATTGGAGCCCAGCACTTCAATGAGACCCTCAATACAGCCAAGCCTTTCCGAGTCACCAACGCAGCAACCTAGCCTTGTTCCATCTACTCAGCCAAGTGGTTCTGGACAACCCAGTCTCTCGAGTGCGCCGTCGATGCAGCCAAGGTAGGCAAAGAGATCGAAGAGTTACATTGTTACTGCTGCTTTATGTGTAATCCTCATTTATTTTCCCGTCATGAATTACCAGTGGTTCTGCAGCACCAAGCACTTCTTCTGTGCCTTCCATGCAACCCAGTGGGTCGGCAAACCCCAGCGTATCGTTGGCACCATCGTGGGGACCTTCCAATTCCCCATCTAGAGCTTCCGGTGGTCGTCTGGCTGCGCCGTCTTCATCCGAACCATCCTTGCCATCTTCATCGGGACCATCCTCACAGCCTTCCAAGGCACCAACAACATTGCAGCCTTCCAAGGCACCAGCAACCTCACCGCCTTCCAAGGCGCCATCAACTGCACCGACGGGGGAGTCTTTCAATTTCGATGATGCTCCTGATCCGTTCCTGCTTCTCAACCACATCACAGCGACAACCACAAATCCCTCAGACAATCCCTCATCTCAACCCTCACAATCTCCTACACGTCTTGCGCGACAGTCTGCAAGTGGCATTTCCACCCTTGAAGACCGTGAGAATTTCGTATTTGAGGATAGCTCTGATGAGGAGAGTTTTTTCTGGAATGATCCATGATAGAAACTTCTGTAGCTCAACACAGCATGCTGAAACATCAAAACCAGCAACACCTAAGTGATTAAGTCCCATTTTTCCCATTATTTGATCTCAACAGACCAGAAAAGAAGGCATCTGGAGGGGAGAGAACACCAGAAAAGATATAAGAAGATAAGAAGATTGAAACCTTCTTCAAGCCTACATAAGTCCTGTTTGCCGAGATTCCAGACAGGCTTAATAGTGAAAACTCAGATAACAAGGTTATCTCAAGGAACCAAAAGCAAGAACTGGTAAACAAGCTATGCCGGTGGGGGAGAGAGAAGAGATTCTCGAGTGCATCCTCAATACAATGGACCTTGCTTAGGATGGATACATGTATGAGCTGGCAGCCACAGCTTCAGGTAGTGGCATGGCTGGCAGCGCTGTCTTCACACCAATAATGTTGCAGCCTTCCAATTGAGGCGCCAATAACAAGTGTCCTCTACCTTAGTGTAAAAAAATGTTGTCTTGGTTGGCTGCTGTTCTATTTGTGGCTTCCAGGGTGTAGTTCTGAAGAGTAGGGCACAAGCAGAAGTCGCATCCACAGAGGACAGTAGCGTTACAGTCAAATGCCAGACCCTGCTTCGTTGATCCGTCCCAATCCCCCAAAGAACAGACTTCGTCAGGCACAAACCCAGAGAAATTGTTTCTTCTCAGTTGCAATCTTTGTAGAGCAGTCACGTTATTTCCCAGTGCCAGTGTAGTAAATACCTCTGGAAATTCTCCACTAAAGCTGTTGCCATTCATTTCCAAATATTGCAAACCTGCAAGCAATCCAAGCTCGGAGGGAACGGTGCCTGAGAAGCTGTTGTCATCAACCGCTAGCTTTACTAGGCCTGTCAGCTGTCCCAGCTCTGCTGGCAATGAACCATTGAAGCTATTGCCAGATAGTTCCAGAACCTGCAGCTTGGGCAGAACTGCCACTTCGGGCGGCAAGGCACCAGAGAGACCAGGATTGTTAAAAATGGTGTTTAACCGCCGCAAGCTGGTCACCAGCCCAATTTCCGATGGCAGAGGCCCCGAGATCTTTGAATAAGCAATCCAAAGATATTCCAGGGAATCCAGCATGCCAATCTCAGTTGGAATGGTGCCATTTATGGGGTTGAATTGAAAGTCAAGGGTTCTCAGGTTTGTCATCAATCCCAGCTGAGAAGGCAGGGTTCCTGTCAGTTTATTACGAGCAAACTCAATTGATGTAAGGTTTGTCATTTGCCAGAGCTCTGTTGATGTGCAGTTGAAAAGAAGTGCAGTTGAGCCAGGTGTGGCTGTCCAAAATGGAAAGAGAATGCATCAAAACTGAGCTTACCTGCTGGAACTGTCCCATTGAAATTATTGTAGTTGAATACGAAGAGACGCAAACTTGGCATTTGATAAATCTCTTTGGGCGTCAATTCATCGAGTGTTCCATTCAGTGCATTTCGTGGAAGGGCAACTACTTTCAAGCTGCTCAAAAGTGTCAGTTCTGGTGGGAGTTCTGGCTTGAGGGTAGAGTTTCCAAGTTTTAAAAGGGAAAGGAACAAGGCTTCAACTTCACCCTTATCATTGCAGGGTCCTGAGATGTTGTATGCACGGCGAAGGAATTCCTTGTTTTCAGTCGAATATGGCGTGTACTTGTCATCTGCAAAGAATCCATCAAGATTTGTGTACCATGAACACTCCTCTTCATTGTAATCTATCCACCTGTCACGAATGAATCCAGGCCAGTTTTCTTCACCACCAAAGGAAAAGAAGAATGTTGCCAAGGCAAACAGTTGCTGCTTTCTCCAAAGAGGCAAGATGGTCTTGTTTTGATGATTGTCTAGCCATTGTAAGGCATACCACTGTGGGGATGAACTGCTTTCGAGGCTTTGCAATGTGTAATTTGGAAGATCCATTTGATCCCTTAGCACTTCCCAAGAAGTCATTGTGGGCTGTGGCGTTGGTGGTTGGGTTGGCGGTGATGTAGCGATTGGAATGAGTGACCCCTGCGTTGCAGCATTTTCGTTCCTGTCTTTGGAGAAGACTCCGGCTCCAGCCAAGGCAATAATAAGTATGATAAAAGCCACGAAAAGTCCCAGTGCAATGATGATGGCTCGTCGCATTTGTTTGGTTTGTTCTGCTCTACGCTTTGCTCTCCTATCTTGTTCTCGTTCGATATCGTGCAAGTCAATTTCTTGAGCAGATTGTAGCTCGGGTGCATTGACGAGAGAAGCCACGACAAGACCCGAGTTCCCCAAGTCCCTCACGGATGGTGTTTGCATTAAGCTACTGGAACCAGCTTGATCCAGATGATACAATGAGCTACGATCTGATGTGCCACCACGACGCGACGATTCCTGATCATGCGGAGTAGTCGGTACCAAGGGATTCTCTTCGTCATTGAATTGTCGTAATTGTCGTTTTTGCTGCCTCGCAATCCGTTTGGCCTCTCGTTCATGATCGGACCGTCGGAGACCACGTGCGTGCTGCCGTGGTCTATTTGTCGTCGATGTCCGGAGTGATGGATTGAGCGCTGATTCCATTGTCGCGTCCATACCGGTACTAGGCTGTGAATTGCGCGTGTGTTCGGAATGATCCGAGAAGGGCAACATGATCGGGAGGCCCACAGGCATGTTGGAATTGGCTGCCACTCCCGCCTTGACATTGTGTGTACCTCCAGGCGAAACCATTCGTTGCTTTGCCCTAACTTCCTGCTGGGTCCTATGAAGTCCATGCGGCGATCTTCTCGTCGGAGGCGAGATGCTTGCAGCGGCAAAGGCTCCGACAGCCGGGTTTGGTGAAATTTGACTGCCACGATTGTTTGTGTGTTTGGCTCTTATTTTGGCGGCTGCATCTTGTTGGCTTCTGCGAAGGCCTCGTGGTGACGATCTTTTGGAAGGCGAATCGGGATCAGCGGCAAAGGCTCCGACGGCAGGATTGGGTGAAACCGGCGCGTCACCGCTAGTGGCGGACCCGTTCCTGGCTCTGATCTTGGCTCTTCTCATGTGCATGTCATTTATATGAGGCGGTGTCTGCACGGGGACAAGTGGTGGCGGTGTTGGTACGAGTTCAAAGCTGACACTGCTGCGTCTTCGTTTTTCGATTCCCCTTTCTGTCCAGGACGTGAAGCGGGAAGTCGGGAAACGGAAATGAGGGACGACGAAGGAACAGGGAAAAAGCAGATACCGGTACCGGTAGAGCGGGGACACATATACGTAGCAAATGATGGACGTACCTTTTTTTACCCGTATCTTTGCCTGCCTGTCTCTGTCTTCTCTTAGGCTTGCGGTCGACGTCTTTGCTACCGATGCCAGCGGGCTGGTTGGCTCACGTTGCCTTGCCCTAATGTTGCTGTCGCTGGGACCTCTGACCTGGACTTGTTCAGATTTCCAAGAGTTGTTGACAGCCTGCTGGCTTCCTGAGTCGGCACCAACTCCATCCTTATCCCTGCACACTCTTTGTTGCTTCTTGCCGCCGTTGGCTTTGATGGCAGCGACAGCGACAGCTTGTTCTTGGCGGTTGTTGATATTAGTAGTGCTGCTAGTAATAGTACTGGTACTGGTAGCGTTGGCATCAATGTCTGCTTGTTCACCGTCACTGTCGCCATTACCAAAGAGAAGCTCTTCTTCTTCTTCCTCTGTTTCTCCGTGGTAACTCGTGCTCCTGGCTGTGCTTTGGCTGATGGACAAGAGGTCCTTTACCGTGTCATTGTATCCATCCCAGAACTCATCGTCGTCTTCATCCGTGCCGGTCGAACTCGCCGCTGTGGCCATGGTCGCAGTTTTTTGCCTGGACTTTTGGAAAAGAGTGAGGATTGAAAGAAGGGCTTTTTTCAAGAGTGTTTACATATATTCAGGTTCTTCTCAGACTTGCTTTGCAAAGTAGTTTTCAAGTTATTTAACAGAAGCAGAGTTCTCTCTTGACTAAACGTGATATGTTAAATCATATTGATCCTTTTCGGCCACGCGTGGCACAAGTTTGCTAAAATTAATGGTTCTATCCCTAAATTTTCGCTTCGTCCTTACGTGTACATGTACCTTTTACTGTGCAGTTACATCACCCCAAACTCTCTCACAAGAAAATGATCAAGCAATCGGTACAGCAGCTGATGTGGTTGAGGCATCGAATCAACCTGATCCAGGACAGGAAGGACAATACAACTACTAGCTGGAAGGCTCTCCTCTCAGGACTATTGGCACCAAAGCTCTACCTTATGCTCTGCTGCTCTCCATATTCCATACCCTGTTCCATCTTTGGAAGGGACCAAGTTTTCAACGACTTTACCTACCACGGGCCGGAGTAGAAAACGTACGAATGTCCTTTGTTGTTGAAGCAAGCAGTACAGGATCCACGGTGGTAGACTACACGTACTCTACCGGTACTCTACCAGCTACCGGTAGCCAGGAGTCCAATTTCTTTTGGTTCGAGGACTGCACCTGTTGGACCCGCCCCCTTTATTGCATGCACTGTAGTTGCTGAAATGAATGTCCCAATTGCTATGAGCAAAGGACTGCATCATTGGATCGTTGAGATGAAAACTGAATGGAAAGAATACGGCTGCGGTTGACCAGCTTTAAGTAAGTACATGTATTGGTACCTACCGTATGGATACTGAAAGCAACAAGCAAGTTCAATCGTATCGGTAGGTTGCTGCCAAATGACTTGGATTCTATGCCGTCATCGCCACTACATTTATTTGATAGGCTGAATTATCATCATCAACTGCTTCTGTTGGACACATTATCTGAAGCTGTAGAACTGAAGCTGCAGAACTAAATGTACATGTATGTGTGGCGTCCACTTCTCAGCTCTAGACTAGCAATGGCTACAGTACTACTAGTACTAACTAGAAAATGAGATCACCAGCCGTGACTCGGTTAACGGCTAACATGTAGCGTTGAAGTCAACAAAGGGTTAGGGGTGTCTAAAATTAATGAAGTTGGGGCATCGGCGTACAGTATCAGTGTTTTAGAAAGCAAGAGTGTACTATTAATAGTACCACTGGCTAAAAGGGCGCAATGCTATTCATGAGTACCACCAAGACAGACAATGCACATGCATGCAGACCGACCGGCTGAGATACTACTGTACATGTAGCAAGAATAGGATAGCAGATAAGCTCACAATCAGTGACAAGCAATAATATGGAGGAGAGGACAAACTTGAATAGGACTTTGCACTAGTAGTTGCACTAGTATTTGCACTTCTACGTAGCACTAGCTAGCTAGAGCTCTTCCTGCAGCACCAATCATTTCTCAATTACCATGGCAAACAAGATACTCAAACCCATTTCCGAATACTCACTAGTATTCGGCGAGGATGTCTCTACAGCCACCTTGCAGCGGGTTCCGCATTTGAAGGAGCTTGCGTCGAAGTTGGATATTCCATCGCCAATGGGCATGGGAAAGATGGCTTCTCACCTGATGAAGATGGGTCCACAAATGCTACACTGTATGTATGGAAACATCGGACTTGCCCTGATGCCATTGCACCTCATTGGTGTGGCTATTATTATGGCAGTCAAGCTACTGCTCCTGAACCCTCCTGGTTTTGAAGGCCTTCAAGATGCGGGCACATTTGAATGCAAGGCGCACATTGTAGACACAGATGATGCTCGAAGTGGACTCCAGCGGGCCTACAGTACAGAATGGCAGATGAACAAGCGTCCAAAAGTTGGATCTTGCTTTACTGCCAGCAGCAATGGAATGTGGTGGGAACGCATTCAGATGTCCCACTTTGTCATCCTGCCTATGTTGGCCATGATGTATCAATTCTCTAAGGACGACGATTCTCTGTCTCGACCTTCCTCTGCGGGTCCCAAATGCGATGAATGGATATGTGTGTATCTTTCGAGAAGATGATACCCATCAGCTTGTCATTACAGGCAAGTTCCGCTGCTGGAGAGTCTTTCTGCCACTGTATCGATGGATCATCACTGTCATATGTGGCTTGTACAGCCAACAGCTCAAGTGCCTACCGAAGGAGTTCCGCTCCCTGCGCAATCAAGACCTGCTCACGGCGGAGGCCAACTAGCTAGAGGTGGCAATTTGAATATATTCATTTAGTTTTTATATTACAAAAGAGTCGGCCATAACTCTGATACATATGCTTATGACAATCGTATGAAGCTATAGCTGGATTGCCGTTTTGCTCCCTTGAGCCTATCGATTCTTGATTATTGAGGGCCCAGTTGATGTTTCATGGTTTGTGCCAGTAAATGCCCGAGATCTCTCGGTTTCGCCCCTTCAGCCACAGTGCAATGGTCCAGTGTCAAATGCAAGTGGGGACTCGGAAACTGGGGAGAACTATTCGTTGATTCAAAGTTTTCGCGCTCAGAGCAGCATACCCCAACAAGGCAGCTCAGACCAGCATATCAGGCATATCAGGCAGCTCAGGCATCTCAGGCATGGAAGCAGGACGAATCCTTCTCAGTGCACCAATAGTAAAGGGATTGCTGAAACGGATGAAAACACTCACGTGCACAAACCGCTTTTCCTGCAAGGCTTCCAAGCAACCACCATCTGAAAAGTCCAACTCAATTATCGCATGGCTGAGCATCGCAATCAGACGTTGCCTTGGCCACCAAGGCAAAGCTTTCTTCGGGGAGGCTTCCTTGTCGGGGAGAGGCATCGCCTCTTTGAGCAAAAACATCAATCAATCCAATGCCAGCCGAGAAAATCTACTATCATAGGTAGACAGCTCTCTAGTAGAGAAGCAATGTGTGCAAGTTGCGGACACTCAGGTCTATAAACAGATGTGCGAGCAATTACTGGTCTAATCACAGCTGAACCGGCTTCATGAGATTTTCGTTCCTCGAACGAGGTTCTTTCCGCGTCTTTTTGCCTTTCTGGCACGAAACTGACCGGTCCGGTACAACACCCAGCCATTGGAAGCTCGAGCGAGCTGTCCGCTACCGAGATGTGGACGTGCCAAGGAGTTCGAGAGAAGATTCACCTTGTTGTTTGGATGCGTTCCTTTTGTGTACCAGCAACCATCCATGGTTTCATGGGAACAAAATCACAATGTATGAAAGATTGAAGCTACGGAACAGATCGACACAGTTGCGAGTTTGGCTATCTGTTTTGCAGCGTGCGGCGAGCAACGAACGTCACGATTGCGAAGGGCCGGGCTGTTCATAACACGGTTTCTAATGGCTGTGTCGTTGGACTTCACTTCCGAGTTGCACTGCCTTTGCTTTCTCTATCGATCGTAGCTACTTCAGAGGAAGAGGAACGTATTCCTCGTACGAGTAGGGAGAACGTTGGCTTCCAACTGAATGGTTGCACATAGAGGACTGCGAATACACGGAGAATTTTGCATAGTCGAAGCAGCCACAGAACTTGGAACCATGAGCTTCCAAGTGGACTGGAAAGAGCCTTAAGCGACTCGCTCCTTTTGCGCCCCGGGTCTTGAGGCGACGGCATACCAAACACGGTACGCAGCGATGACGAGCAGGATACTGTAATAGCATCATACTGCATGCAAGTGCCAGTGTGGTACAATGTAACGTGTGGCCCCAAAGGTCGCCAACAACGATTGCGCGTGTGCGACTCCGGTCGGTCCGAAGGTCTGAACAACTGGACGAAAAGTCTTTGAAGGAGCTTTCGAATGGCTTCCTCTCCTTTCCCTGCTCCCCCGACAGCCCGATTGTACCCGACTGTACCCGGGCAAGCCCGCCGTATTCATAAAAAGAGCACTGAACTCGAAGACGAGAAGTGCAAAGTGCAATAGCAAGAGACCCGGTTGCTGCAGTTCCAAACTGTTCTGTATGACCCGGGACATCCCTTGACAATAGTACTGTATTTGCTTGGCGGCTTGGCGGGCGGAATGAATGTACAGACTTTGTTAAGGATGTGGTTCTGCTGATCCTGCTACTAGAGTATACTGTGTGTCTCAAGTGTGGCCCATGTGTGAGCAGCCAGCAGAGATCTTTAAAAGCTTTGTTGGTTGCTGAATTTGGCTGCTGTGGATCGCCCTGATCCTACCAGCTCCAGCCAGCGGTACATTGTACCACGTTGGTCAATTCTTGGTGGTGGTACCGGTACCAGCAGCCAGCCAGCAGCCAAAGGTCGAAAAAAGGGACCTTTCTCGGTCGCCTTTCTATTCCTTTATGCAGGAAGCAGGTCTCGTGCCGGGTCAGTGCCGGCCAGCCAGACCAAGATGATCCGGCAGGTCCCTTAGGCATCAGACCCCCCTTGCTCAGAAATAAGAATTTTGTGGCGCCTTCAAACTTCTTTTTACACTGTCAGTTGTTAGGTGACGGTGCAGACGGGGTGATGGATGGAAGCTTGGGCGAAGTGTGAAAGAAGCCGACTATCACAGTTGAGCTCACAGTTGCCGGTGACAAAAAGTCAGCGAGACCACTCCAAGCACCGTGTTCGCTTTGCCAGGCAAGGCAGGAGATAGATGCTGAGATGTTGCTTTTGCTTCAGCAACTGTTCTTACTGTGCTTATGGCCTTTCTCAAGATCAGCTGTCGTTGCTTCAGTACTCTTGTCAACGGAGCATCTGGATCTGGATCTGGCTAATGGATGTGGCTGCTTTGCTGATGAGGTGCATCTAAAAGGGAGCTTGCTGGTGTTATTCTTGAAACATCATCGACGGTATTGGTCGGACGAGCAAGAGCAGACCACGCGAGTGCAATCAGGAAAAATTAGTGGCTCCTTATTTCGGCACCAATCAGCCGCTTTCTGCCCACGTTCTACAGATTGTTTTCCCCACCCAAACTAGACACTATCTAGCTAGAGCTGGCTAGACCTAGCTAGATAAAATAAGCGGTGGTACCGGTACAGTACGGTCCTACATGCAGCTGGTCCGCTGGTCCTACCGTGTTTTTAAGGATGTGAAAAAGTGTTTTGTCTTAGATCCGGTCAACTTTCGAACAATTTCTTGAAACCCCATTTCTCTGTTGTCTTAAGTCCTACTGTTAAGCGAACCAGATCGCTTCGTCTAATGATTTAACGAATGAAGCCTTTGCTCTTTGCAAGTTCAGGCACGGTTGCTGTTTCTGTTTCCACCAGCAATGTCCCTTGCTAAGGCATCATTGCTGGCATGCTGGCATGCTTGCTGGCACTGGCATCATCATCTATCGCCAGAGTTTCACTGACATGCATAGTGAAAGTGCATTGAAAGAGCTATTGAGAGACTGAAGTCGCTTGCTTCACAATCACTTACTGTACTTGCAGACTAGCACAGCTTAAAAAATTAGTTGTCAGATGATGTAACCAGAATACCAGCTCCGTTAAGCCTTGAAGAGATGCTTGCCCTTCGACCTTCGACGAATATCTGTCCAAATAATGCGGTGTGGACTTTGGAGGCGACCCAATGCTTACTTACATACTTGCTTGTGCTGTGTGCGTGCTGTGTGATTGCAGTTGCTTACCAGACGTACTTTGGCAGCTTTTTAGCTGGGTTTTTGAATTAGAATGATGAATAAGGCTTGTGTTCTCTGGAATTGATCTTCAACGTTCTCTTCCCTACACCTTTGATATAATAATTATGCGTCCATTGAAGTTTGATCTTGATTCAATGACTCGATTATCAGTCCAGAGTTGCCAAGTACAGCTGAAGCCTTAATTAAGTATGGCGATGTATGTTGCAGGGTGTGTTACGTTCTCTGTGAACTTAATAACTTTATTATGGGCCCTATCCCCTATCTACTACTAGTATCTACATTCAGTACTCCTAGCTAGCGAGTACTTGAGTACTCTTTTTAGTTCGATCGATCCAGATCGCATCTGCGAAGCTGAGAAGCTGAAGTTGGGTGGTGTTCTCTTTCTCCATTCCGGCTTACGGTACTGTGCTCAACAAGCCACATATTATTGCTGCAGCAACTGTGGAACAAAAAGCTAAAAGCTATAAGAATGTTGGATCTACTTTAGAAGGATGGTCTGGGTCTCACAATTTTAAATTCTCGAGACGTAGCATTGTTCATCTCCCTCTCTCACTCCTTTTACTCGACTTGACTCAAGTGTTACTTTCTGGCGATCTATGCTTCATCCAATGGGCTATCCAATTCCAACCAAAATGCAGAATCCAAATCAACCACCCAATGACGGGTTATTCGCCGCTTGGTTGGCCTGTGCCAATGGCGGTGATGACACCGCTACGGCTGGTACTAGTATGCAACTGCAACCGCAGAGCCATCAACTTAACCAGCCCTTCCTTCCGCATGCGCAGCAAAACCTGAACCAGCAACCTCTCATGCCGCTGGCAGTGGATACTGCTACTAGTAACACTCACAACGGCCCGGGGGCAGGTACCGGTACCGGTAGCATGGCCAACCTGAACCCCTACGCTGTAGCTCCTTCTAACGCCGCTTCCAACCGGTCTCACCAGGGTGTCGTAAGGCGGGGGTCTCACCAAGAAGCCTTTCTCGCCAGCCTTCTTGGTCCCATCCAGTACGACACGGAGGCACCTGCCGCAGCAAGCGGTGGTGCCGGTATACATAACCAACCCCCTGACTTGAATGTCCCCTCTGCCTTTAGGAATCTTGCTGCTTCTGCGGGAAACTCCAACCCCGGCTCAAGCAACGCATTCTCCTTGAACAATAACGACTTGTTCTCGTCGTCGTCTGCATCTGATCAACTCCAAATTCAAAACCAGAATCAGAACCAGAACGTGGGCTTCCCAGGCAACCTTCAGGACACCCAAAGGTTTGCAAACGCTAACGTGGGACGACAGAACTTGGGCGAGGGCTTCGGGGTGAACGACAGATCCATGATGATGGGGAACCAACACATTGACTACCAGCCCCTGAGGTTGGCTTCTTCGTCCAGCAGCAACGTGTTCGGTCGATCAATGGCTGGATCTAGCCACTCTGAAGACACCGCTTTTGCCCGTATGCCAAGCTTGAACGACCCGCAGCCAGCTATTCCCTCCTTTGCCGCCGCAGCAGCAGCCATGCCCGTGCAACCACAGAACGCTTCCAACTTCCGCCGTCCTCAAAGCTTCGCCCGCAGTTCCATCTCCTCCTCTTCCTCCTCCGCTCAACAAGACAACGCACTGCTCTTTGGAACCAACCAGTTCCGCAGTAGCAGCAGCAGCAGCAACCCATTGTTTGACAGTCCTCTGCAAGCATCGTCGTCGTCGTCGCATCAGCACCCCAGTAGTATGCAAGCTCAACTCGAGCAGCATTCTTTGCAACTCCAACTCCAACTCCAAGAGCAACAAAGGCGTCAACTCGAGTTGGATCAGCAATCTCTTCAGAACGAACTGCAGCAACGACTCCAACTGCAAGAAATGGCCCCCGCAGGTCAGCCGTACCCCGAACCCGGACAGCTTCCCAGCTTTATGGCTACCAACACGGCGCCGATCGACACCACGATACAGGGAGCAACACCTCAAGTCCTACCGCCGGAAACCGCATGGAAGGGACGCGGTCGAAGCTCAACCTTTCCTCTCAAACTGCACCAGATGCTCTTGGACCTCGAAAAGAAACAAGGCGGCACCGAAATCGCCGCATTCCTGCCACACGGACGAAGCTTTCAGATATTCAAACCCAAAGAGTTCTCACGGTACGTTGCTTACATCTCTTTGGATCAAGTATTGACTGCTTCTGGTGATTGATCATACGTGTGCGTAGTATACCGTATACTTACACACTCCTCCGATTCTGTTTGCTTCCCACAGAGAGGTCTTGCCCCATTACTTTCGAATGAGCACATTCAGCAGTTTCCAGCGACAGCTGAATCTGTACGACTTTCAGCGCATCTCCGAAGGACCCGAAAAGGGAGCCTACTGGCATGAACTCTTCCTCAAGGATCAGCCCATGCTCAGCACTGGGATGAAACGGAACAAGGTGAAAGGATCCACCCGCGCACGACAAGAAGAACGCTTCAAGCACTATAGCCATCAGCAGCAAAGCCAACAGCAGCAGCAAGGTCAACAGCAACATCCCAAGGCGCCTCCTCGCTCCTCGTCGTTCTAGTATACATCAATTTTGTAAATTCTCCCATGAACCTTCCTTCATGGCTAGAACACGCTGCAGGAGACTATGTACATACTAAAATAGATTGCATTTCAGGCTCTCTCTGCACAGGGACATGTGAGCCTCAACACATACATATTATGCAATAGCTTTGATTTTAAAAAATCATAATCTTGTGTTCTGTCCCGGCGTAGGGCTTGCTCTCATCCTTTCATTCTCTCGTTCTGCTTGTTGAGTGGAGTGGTGGTTAGTTAGTAAGTAAGGAGTCCAATCCAATAGACCGAATCAAATGGAATCGTCTAGTTGCCAACAGTTCAAATGCACGACAGGAGCACACCGAGTGAAAGCTCTTCAAGGTGACGCATTGGCAGGTATTGAAGGACCAACGAGGTACAGTAGAGAGATGTTCCCGTACAACCGCAGCACGGGCAGTGACTGACATTGGCTGGAGCGAGATGGTTGTGCGAACTTATGATGATGACAAGTTGAGCTCCCAAATCCTACAAATAATGCTAATAGCTAGTGTAGCAAGCTATTCGGAAAATCTAGAACTAGGTCTCAAAACGTGGTTTCTACATTATTATGAGGAGTTGCGACCTCGATTCCGGGGCCTTGGACATCCATTGGTTCGGAGATACTCCAAGACATCATCATTCCAACTGCAAGCTCAGAGCATAGGTGTTAGCAGTCGAGGGGCAACCATTTTCATGAGCATATTTCAGGATATCGAAATGGCCACACATAGCTGCAACATCACAGGTTTCTTCATCCCAAGGACACCCATTTTCGTGCGCATACTGCAAGGTATTGAGCTGCCCGAACATAGCGGCATTAGCACAGGTCCATTCACTCCAAGGACAATCGTTTTCATGAGCATATTCCAGGGTATCCAGACGACCATACATAGCAGCAACAGCACAGGTCCCAGGACCCCATGGGCAGCCGTTTTCACGAGCCCATTTAAGAACTGTTAGATGTCCCCCACCAGCAGCGGATGAACATGTGGTGACATTCCATGGGCATCCGTTCTCTCTAGCCCATTGCAAGATATCCAGGTGTCCTCCATCGGCAGCCTTAGCACAAGTCTCTTCATCCCAAGGGCATCCGTTCTCTCTAGCCCATTGCAAGATATCCAGGTGCCCTCCTTTGGCAGCCTGAGCACAAGTTGCTGCATCCCAAGGACACTCATTCTCGCGCAGCCATTTGAGAATCTGTAAATGACATGCAGCATTTTGACAAGTTTTTTCGTTCCATGGACATCGTTTAAAATGCAACCATTTCAGGATTTCAAAATGACCAAGCAAAGCAGCACTTGAGCATGGACGAGGCTGCATTTAGGCTTATTGAGGGAATCCCGCATGATCAAGCTCCTACACGGCTGCGTTGTTCTCCAGGCCATGTGCCACCATGAACTCCTGAGCTGACTCCTGTAATCCACGCGTCAGCACGGGCATCATGGTTGCGACGCAACTCCTCCATCTCAGCATCACGGGCAGCAGCACGGGCATCGTGGTTGCGACGCAACTCCTCCATCTCAGCATCACGGGCAGCAGCACGGGCATCATGGTTGCGACGCAACTCCTCCAACTCAGCATCATGGTTGCGACGCAACTCCTCCAACTCAGCATCATGGGCAGCAACACGGGCATCATGGTTGCGATGCAACTCCTCCAACTCAGCATCACGGGCAGCAACACGGGCATCACTGTTGCGACGTAACTCCTCCAACTCAGCAGCAGGGATGCGACAGATGCGATGGGCTGCTTCGCACCACTCGTCACAGGACTTGGTGACTGATAACGTGAGGTGGTTTTGGATCTTGGTGTATTCATCCTTGCTCGTTGGGAGCTTCTTGCAGGATTCGTCTACTGTGAATAGGTCTTTCGGGGCTGCACTACTTCTAGTTTTCGTGCCCCCTTCCTCTGGTGATGCCTTCTTGAAGGCTTCCAGGATTTCATCAACGTACTTGTACATTGATACGTTGCATTGACCCTTCGTCGTGAAGTCTATGGTCATGCCAAGATACGTGTGGACCTTTCCGCGGCTCACCGTCATCTCTCCAGTGCCGTCCTCAAATATGCTTTCGTATTCATCACAAAGCACTTGGATCAGCTGGTCGTTAACCTTCAAGTCCTTGTGGCTAAGCTTACAGTCATCTACATGCCAGCAAACTGTCTGTTGCTTGCCATGTACCATTCTGTTGGCTACACATGGGTCGTAAGGATTAATCTTAAATCCGTTCCGGAGCATCGTCTTCTGGAACTTACGGTAGTATAGTAGGCTAGCTACCATGGTACCATAGATGGCATTCAAGCATTGCAGTAGCAACTGCTTGTTGCCTTTCTTATCCATTGTCATGATCTGTTTGTAGACATCTGGGGCAATTTCACACAGCATGTCTACTAGTACTCCTCTTACTCTAATGATTACCATATCTTTTTCATCCTGGACTCGTGTCTGGATGAAGGTGTTCGGGATGGTGATCTTCTCCCATGTTCCTATCATCTGGTCTGCCATTCCAGATCCAGTTGCACCAAAATTGAACACATGTTGTTCTAGGGCTTTGCATGAACCTTTTTGTTGGTTCAAAGACAATGGGCTGGATCTTCCATGCCCTCCTTGTCCTCTGCCACCTCGGCCACTCCTTCCTCTACCTCTACCGATCATTTTCTGTGCTACGGTAGGTGGACTATTTCAATTCTTTCTTTTTTATTTGGCTAGCTCTTTATTTTAAGTTCTCATCCAACTACTTATCGTCTTCTGGCTATGGGGCGATAAACTTCAAATTATACTCCTGGCTAGGGAGTGTTAAAACTATTGCTAAGGATCTTGCAAGGGTGGGCCCGATTGCTTCACACACTGTGCGGTCGCGGCCTTTCCAAACCCGTTTCCTTGCTGATTGTTTCCTTGGTTGGGTACCTGTCCTTGGTCCCTGCGCTGGCTCTATGGCTTTCGCGCTGTTGTTGGCTTTCTCCTCGCCAAGCAACCTTGCTGGTAATCCTTGTGGATTCTACCGTCGAAACTCTTGCTCTCGGCACGACGATCCTTCCTGGCGTCGTTGCCGTCGAAACTCTTCGGCTTGGATTCGAATCCGTCCTCGGATCCTTCTCTCGTTGCGTCGTCGCTCGTTGCGTCGTCGCTTCGGTGCTTTCGATCCTTCGACAGTCTTCTCTTGTTGCTCTCCTGGTGCTGTGTGCTGTATCGGTCTTCTCACGTTCTTCCTGCCGATTGGCTTCGATGCTTCGGTAGGCTCCTCTTCTCTTTGTTGCAACGACCACTGCTATTGTCGACGATAGCAGTACTTTTTCAGTAGTATGTTAGTTGCTCTAAGCTCTCTTCTAGTTTACATGCTATTGAGATACTAGGGTGGGCTCTGTATCTGTATTTCTACTGTGAAATTCTAGTACAGAGGTACAGGTTCAATCCCCAATCGTTTTGCGATGTAGGCATTGCTAGCTAGGGCCGTGCATGCTAGCTGATGGCTAGTAGCTAGCGGTGTTCTAGCTAGCTAGTGTTGGCTGGCCGCTTGCACAAATCCTGTGGTAAAGGCCTGCCGGATAGTCCCAATTGCACTGTTTGACAGCTCTGTCAGTTTATTTATGGATACCACTATCACCACAAGTGCAACGCTGTCCGAAACCAGGACAGCAGTTCCCAACTTGCTGCCGCACAGTGATCAGAAGATGGACAGGTTCCACCATGGTTACGTCCACATTGAATGATCCAATGACGAGAAGGCTCTATCTCGCTAGATCTTTTCGAAGCTCACAATTTTCTGAAGGCTCTTTTTCCTTGAAACTTTTATCGAGCATCGTAAACTTCATTCATTCTTTCATTCTTTCATTCAAAAGTGAGCAAGCAAGCAGCAAGCAGCAAAGCAACCATGAGGAATCCAGGAGGCGATGATATGAGCAGCATGACCAAGGCCACTGTGTCTTCGGGTGGTGTCGGTAATAGTCGCACGCAGCATAAGACCAAACAGGAATGGATTTTCCCCGTGCTGGCGGTGATCCTCAGTGCGGTTGTCGTGGCAGTTATCGTTGGTGCAACCATGAACATCGATTCAGGTAATGTGGGCACTGTGGAAGGATCAGCAGGGGAAGAAATGGCACTTTCGACCACAGAGGCGCCTTCAGTCTTTGTTTCAGTCCTGCAACAAACTCCTGAAGCCCTGCAGTGAGCTCATGCCATGGCTGGAATTCTGGATTGTTCTCGAAAAAGGTGTTAGTAGCAACTTTTTTTGGAGGGGTGTCTGGTCCTCGTCAAGAAGGGTCTTGGTCAATTCCTCCAATTTGATCTTGAATGCCTTGAGCTGTTCTTCCGTTTTCGATCTTGAAGGCCTTGAGCTGTTCCCAGAGACGGTCAATTTCCTGTTTGTGGCGATGCTGCTTCTCCTCCTCTTCAACTTCATGGCGACGCTGCTTCTCCTCGTGCTGCTCCTTGTCGCGTTTCCGCTGGGCCTTGATACGGTTCATGTCTTCAGCGTGCTGGTGCTCCATCGCGGCTTCGTCGAACTGCGCGAGGTCAGCAGGACTGTCTCGAGCGCCAGATGACATACTAGCTAGCTAGTAGTTGCTTGCTGAAAGTTCATGGCTTGCTATGGCGATGGCTGATGGCGATGGCAATCTAGCGTTGATGGCTTCCTGAATCTATGAGGGTGACCAAGGAGATCTCGAGACAAAGCAAAATATCTTCGCCTTTGAAATGAGGGCTCCTAAAATGGGGCTATTTAATAGAGCGCGAGCCGAGTAAAGGGGGATTTCATTTGATTGGCTTTCCAATTCCCGTCGCTCCTCGCTTCCCAATTTCCAATCCCACCATGTTTCAAAAGTGCACAGGCAGGATCGTCACCCATACAATACTATTATAGTACATGCAGCGTGCAAACCATTGAGAACACTGCAATCCCTCCTCTCATTGAAGAAGGCAGGGACGGAAACAAAAAGAACTTTGAGGAGTGCGGTGCGCGTTCCGGAACCTTTTATGCAGCCCTATCTCCTTGTGTTGCTCTATCCACCACGATGTGGAGCTCTTTGCTTTTTGCTTGACATGCTCCAGTACTCGACAAGATTGTGCATCATGAGCTGGCTGTATGCTGTGTTCCTAGTCAACTGCATGACTGTTTCCTCATGAAAGATGAGACAATCTAGTGCAAATCTCTGCGGTCTCCTACTTGTACTGCTAATAGAGGTAGGATCTGGGAATTAAATGTGTGTGCAGTAGTACCAAGGCAACATGGGAGGAAATTGAAATACATCCAAACGAAAGGTGGAATCCAGGAACAAATCAAAGAGCCATCAAGTAACATGATGTGGTTGTGGGCGCACTTCCAGGCCGAAACAGTCTCGTTGAGAATGCTGGGATCGTAACGTGCTCTCGTATGGCTTCCATTGTGCTATTGACATCTTCGCAGGAGGGAACATAAAGGACACTCAATGAGGTTACAAGATAAGGATGTTCTGGCCATCAACGATAGAGATGAATCTGCGAAGCAACAGTGAAAAGAGCTCGAAGCAAACGACTGAACCAGGAGGACAAGAACCAGGAGTACCCGAGCAACTCAACAGAAAGCCTCTGCATGACATCTGGCCAGAGTGACTGAACGGATTCTTGTGGAGCTCATTGTGCATCTATATTTGCATCTAAAATTTCATTTTCATAGTAATTCATTTATTTCTTACGCACCTCACCATGGAGCAAGAAAGCCAAGTGCAACTCTCACCTATCCAAACCCTTGCGAAAGCACCATGGGGATCGCTCCTTCCATGCTTGGAGTTACATGTAGACTGTAGGACGCTATTTACAAGCCACATCCATCATCTATAGCTCACCATTTACATGTATCATGTTATTTGAGTCACGATTAGGTTCTTGTGTTCAAGGGAAGAGGGGAGAATGTTCCCCTTCTAAGGAACTCTTCATTTTTAAAATTTGAATTTACATGTACTGTGCCGGTGTGCCGGTGTGCAGCTTCTCCTGACCTTCACAAATCGGTCACTTCATTTTCTTTCCCTTCACCGTTCGTTTTGTCTCCACCGTTACATGTACCACCTACCGGTACATGTACATGTACCACCAATAACCAATACAGTACGAGATGAGACGACTCTTACTCTGTCTGTCTGCATGGAACCAACACGAGATCTACTATGCCATAGTCTATCAAGCCGAGTCAGAGGGGAGAGAAGGATCCACGGAGCCGCCGTTGCCAAGACCATTAGTGATATTTCACAGCCACCTGGTGTGAGGACATGCAGTGTTGACAACCCCTCTATGTAATTATTGGGATGAGTCAAACTGTATTAGTCCATTTAGCTGGCTGGGTGAACTTCATGTATGAACAGCAACAAGATGATTTTCGTGTTGATGGACTAAAACCACCAGTGGTTTCTCCTCTCACACAAAATGAATCGAATCCAATTGAATTTAATTTAATTTGATTGGATGGCGCTCTGCTCTCCTCTTCTTTGCTTCGTGCAACGATCCACCATCCCGACTATTAATACAGTACCATGGAAGAGTCAGAGTCAAGTCCAGTGGAGTCAAGTGACACCATACATAACGGTACCGTACTACCGGTACCACTACCAGATGAAAGGAGGTGAGATGGCACTTGCTCTCTTGTCCATGTGCATGTGGCCCAACCTTACAAATCCATCTCACATTGCCTTTTGTCCCCACTTTTCCTAACTTTGCAATAGGAGAGTGACAGTCTACTTACTGCATCTATTTTAATTAAATAGTCAAGTTACAGTCAGAGGGGAGAGAAGGATTATTGTATTCATGCCTGAAACCTCTGTCCAGTTAGGCCCTTGCAGTGGGGTCATCAAATCGCGTGCCACCAAACCGCAACTCTATGACTTTGGGTTCAGCTGGTGCAATCATCCCTATCAATCCAATGACAAAACAAAACAAATGAGGCTCGGTGTCCCGGTTATTGTCATTGATGAGACTTTGGTGTATGTGGACAACTGGTACCAGTACTGTGGCACCGTTGGAATCCATGACAAGCTTGGGGACAATTATGCTACTTAGTAAAGTACCTTGCGGGCCAAAATGGAAGTGCGGCGGGCGATTTGTTCTCGTGAACACGTACTTGTGAAATCCTACTGGACTCGACTTGTCACTCGACTGTCACTCAGTGAAGGCCACATCACACATCACCACCAAAGAAAGCCAAGTGCAATTCGAATGCTCAGAGGCGGAATCAAACTCAAGGAGAAGGAATAATGCGAAACCCCCTCGAAAACGTTCAAAGCCAGTGCACATATGGTCACTGCCAACGGTACCAGTTGCTCCTGATAGATCGAATGGAAGGGACCTTCCTGCTGTACCGGCGACTTTACTCTGCCTCAGACAGTTTAGATACACCTGCGACCATGGTGCTTGGGGCTTAACTTAAGTTGCCACTCATTAATAGAATTGGATTGTCAACTCTTTCTCTGTATGCATACAAGAAGCAAGAAGCACACTGAGGTGGGGGGGGTATATTACTAGCACCGATAAGGCTTCAACAGCTCCATCCACCTACCGGTAAAGATATACCCATTTCCTTTACCAGTGAGAACCCTGAATGTGCGTACTGGTGAGTTCCATTAAAACTTTGAGACGTGTACCGCATAATGCTTTGATCCATGTTTACTCAACTTTCACGTGATTAGTTGTCCCAGCAGATCCCATCCACGACAACGGTACATCTGAGGAATGGCTACGGTACCAGCAAGACAGCACCCATGGACAAGGCACGAGCTGAAGCCTAAGTAAATTTGCAAATCTGAAGAAAGCGGAAAGTGGAAAGCCTCCCAAAATCCAGCTTTGGACTTTGACGGAATCATTCAAGAGTAGAAAGCTTTTACACACCTCCCTGGGAGTCCAGCTGAAAGGAACAAAGGAGCCCCTCTTCTCCATCACTTATGTTATCATGTCCCTTTGCGAATTGATGGGTTGAATGGTACCGGTACATGTAGAAGCTACTAGCTAGTATGGTACATGAGTCTGAATCATTCTCATTCCATCGGAGAGCTATCGGACCCACTACATTGTACGAGCTAGACCAGAGTGCATCTGCTCGTACCGGTGGCGAACATCCATTGCACTTCATGTCATCAATGCCCACTGCTTTGTCAAGCGAAAGGAGCGAACATGGATCTTCAGATCTCGACAAAGATAGAGTGTCACAAAAGATAATTGCTTTTCTCTTTGAAAGCTTCGTGCAGAACTCCAAGCTCCGCACCGTACCGGTTAGGCTAAACGCTACAAGAGCGAAATATGAAAGCAAACCTCGATATTATGGACTCTTCAGGCTCGAGTCGGACTGACGACGGATCCCTCATCCTTCCGATTGACTTTGTGCCTTCTGATAACGAAGTGATTATTGGAAGGGGAAAGAAAGTCAATGCTCACGTTGGCAACAAGCGGTTTCGAAGCCTGGTCCAGCAGGAGACGCAAGATTACGCCGTCGCACAAGACAAGGCCCAGAAAACACTTGTGGTCTCGAAGGTTCTCTTTGAAGTTCGTGGGTGGGGTGGAGATGTGAAAAACTTTGGATTCGTCAAGTGGGATCGGCGCATCAAACGTTGGATTGCTCCCAAGGACAGTGTGGCACGTGTTGCTGTGGCTCAGGCATTTCGGGATGCTCTGGGGCGCAAAAGTGGATACGCCAGCAGCAAGGACAACAAGCAAAGACAACGGCACATTGAAAAGGGATACATCAAAGTAGAGGACAGCCCTGCAGAGGCAACAAGACCAGCTCGAAGAGGTGACGACATGAGCCCTCCTGTGGATGACTTTGGCGATGGGAAACCTCCTGCAAGGATCACAAACGCCAACCCATCCACACATGGATTCAACCAAATTGCTCAGCAACGGTTGCTCATGCCCCCACCAGCACCTTATCAGCAGCTTCCATTGGGTCAAATGCCCCTCCCTTCCTCTTACTCCATACCAGAGCCTGACCCATTTCCACCTGCTTATGGGGACCCAAACCAGGGCAGAGCCAGTGCCATGCCTCATTATCCACAGCACAATGCTCCAGATGCTGGTCAGATCTATGATGCCATCACTGCTGTTACGGGCACTGGTACCAATCCTGAGCCCCAGTCCAATTCTGAATTTGAGCTAGAGGTTGATGATGACCTTTTGGAACCAATCCCTTTGAAAGATGACGAAACAGCTTTCTACTACAAACACAACAATGACTCAAAAGACCATGGTGGAGGGCACACCTAGCCCAGCCAAGCTTAGCACAGCCAAAAACCACATTACAACTATTAAACAGAAAGCAACACACCCAAAACGTTCAAGCAGCTATAAGTGTTACACTAAATAATGTTGTTGTTGCCAATCCCAGCCATTACAGCTCGTGGCCATTGATTTGCCAACAATGGTGACGTTTGGGAAGGACTGTAATCAAGAGAGTCTAAACTGTGTTGGCATCACACATTTCCTTGCCATCAATGTCCACCACATCTTGGAAATGACCATTGTCAGGTGGCTTAGCCTGTTCCTGCAGATAGGAAACCCATTCCATTTGATCTGCATCCCCCAAGTTTTTGTGGTGCCAGCAATAACCATTGGATCGTCTCAGACTTTTCAAGCATTTACCACATGGTTCCCCTTTGGATCTTGAAAGAGGTACCACGTGTCCATTCACAGTCTTTCGAACCTGGATAAAACCTGGTTGATCCTTCCTCTCCCACTCAGCTATCCCAATGGTAACAACCTCTTCACCCTCACCTGCAAATGCAAATTTGCAGAAGACAGAAACACAGGTTTAGATCAAGCACACAGCAAAGGGAACTTTAGCAGAAGGAACTTAAGGAACTTACGTTGGAAGGGGTAAAACAAGATAGTTGAAGCCAATGAACCTGGGGAAAGGAATTTAGTTTTCTTCTTGGGTTTGGGGGTAGAAGGGGCAAAGGTGGTAGTGCCATTTTCTTCTTCACCCATATCATTTTTCTCCTCATTGGAGCCATCAGTAATCCCACTTTGCTCATCACCACTACACACATCCTCAACAACTGGCATGGCAGGAACACCTCCAGATGAATCCCTAGGGATGTTGGTGTTGGAGGAATCACCATCACCATCCACACCACTATCACCACAGGAAGGCGAACCAGCTTGGAGATTGTTGGCAGAATCAGCAGTTCCAGCTGAAACAAACAGTGCTTTCCTCAAGTGAGAAGGAACTTCAGAAGAATCATCTTTCTGAAGAGGAGCCTTCTTGATGGTTGAAACCACTTTTCGCAGTTGTTCCCCTTGGGATTCCACTGTTTCCATGATATGGTTTGCAGTACTTTGATTGCTTTGCTTCACGTCATTTGTGATTTGGTTTGCAAAACTTTGATTGCTTTGCTTCACTTCAGCCACAGTAATTTGATTGCTTTGCTTCACTTCAGCCACCACATTTTGCATCATCATCTCTACTAGCTCCTTGGTAGCTTGATCCCGGTTTTTCTCCTTTTGTGCTTGAAGCTTGTCCTTCTCCAATTCGTGGTTTTTTTGAAACTTGTCCTTCTCCAATTCAAGCTGCATACGAAGCACTTCCTTCTGGCTTTGGTTGACTTCCCTTTTCCAATCCAGCAAATCCCGATTTGTTGTACCAGGAGGAAAATACACCTCACCCTCACCAGATACAACTATCTGTCCACCATTGGCTTGGATTTTCTGCTTCCCATTAGGAACTGCAAGTTGATTGGTGTGCACAATTGACAAAGAACCAGTGTCCACCTCAATAACATCACTGTACTTGGGGTGAATGTTCATAAGCAAACTCAACTGAGTGATGGAAACGATGTGAAATTCAGTCATCACCAAATTCAATGCTTCAGCCTCTGTGACATTTCCATTGTCTTTTGAGACTTGTTGGGAAAGAAAAGATGGAATCTTGCTATGTGGAATGGGTGGAATCTCCTTCCCTTTATCATTGATAACACTGGATCGAATGTTCACTGTGGCAACACCACCTTCAATGGATGAGACAATGAATCGAAGTTTTGTCTTGCCTTCATCAAGAAAAAAGTAGGGAAAGTTGGGAAGATTTTCCCCAGTCATATTTTGGAGCTTTGAATTGAGCTTGTCATGATGTTGTTGAGCCTGATTCAACTTGAGGTGGTAACGGTCCCCATGGTGTGTTTCTTGGAGTGCTTGTTGGATCAATCCCACTTCCTCCGCAATGAATTCAAGTTTACGGGTTGAGAACTTGTCTTTTTCCTGAAGGACTCCATCATCAATTTGGTCCATCCATGCTCGAACATAATTTGGCAAAGGTGCCAAATCATTTATGGAGACAAAGTTCGAGGGATCATCCTCCTCAACGACAAGGAAAGGCATCTCCACAAAGACGTCACAGTAAACATAATTGTTGAGGAATTTTTTGAGATCATCCTTGGTGAAGTCGGGGCCAAGTCTTCCATCAAACAATCCATGGTGAATAATTTGAAGGATCTTGGAAGTTTTCTTTTCAATGCATTGCAAGAATGGTTTCCCAATCTCCGTTCTGTACTTGATGCAGAAATCTTCAGAACTGTTAGGGTCATCCTCACTCTTGTATTTAAAAGTATCCCGGTCAAAGCTAATGATGATTCCCTCCTCATTTTGTGTCACAACATCAAACAAACGGTTCAATTGAGGAAACCAACCACTGTTCTTGTTGTTCTTGCCTCTTTTGCGAAGGAAGGAAGCCTGTGTTTGAATGTATTCATTAGTGAAATCAGGTGACTTCACCAATCCACAGAAGTAATTCATGTCTCGGAGCCAACTAGATGACTTGTGCTTTTCAATCTTGACCTTTTGGGTGTTGGCCAAATAAGACTTCTGGCTTTGTAGACGTTTGAGTCCTACAATGGTCATGGTGATATTGATTCAGAATTCTTGGATGTAGAACTTGGAACCTTGAGAAGAGCACAACTGGATGGATGGATCTTGGAGAACTTGATGGAAAGCACTTGATGGGGGACAGAACTTGAGACTTGACAACACAGTGGGGCAGAACTTCAGACTTGATTGCACAACACAACAAAAGAGCAAAATAGTGCTATTCAAACCACTTGATGGCACAGCAGGACAAAGAGAAAACACTGAAGCTGGATACTGAGCTGTCTGTCCGAGATTTGAAATTGTGAGAGCTCAAAACTGGTTTGATGATAATTGTTCCAGATCCATGTGGTTTCTAGAGGTTTGTATTGAAGCTACAGGTTATCCCGTAAGGTCTTGAACTGCATCTAAGAGTGCAGTTTTCAAATTAGTTTCCAACCTGGCTCGACCTGGCTTGGATGTATCATATGCCCCTACCAGTGTGAACTATGCTTTCTTTAGAATGGACAAATGGACAAAGAAACTTGGTTGTTGTTCTTGGTTGCCAGTTGGACTATGCAGTTTACAGTGTTTTATGTAGAAAAAATAGTACAATTGTATTTGAAAAAATTCTTTGCATCCACCTAGTTTGATCTTGATGTGGGATCGCAGGCTGAAGTTTGGCACAAAGACAATAATTAAGATATTGGAGTAATAAGTAAATGGGGTTATGACTGTATAGTACTTAGTACTTGGAATAGGGATACTAAGCAACACGTGTCCTACCGAGGTGAAGGATGCTTTTCCTGGAATGGACAGCTGGATGTGGTTATTTTGTTGCACCATCCAATGGTGGTTGCCAGCTTCCACTATTTGGACACTTTGTTATTTATTTGTGTGGTAGAAATAGTACAACTGTATCAGTAACGTAAGTCTCCTCTCACGATCAGGATGTCCACTGTCTTCATCAGGGAAAGGTCCAAAAGTGCTTGGAGGACCCCCACGGGAGTTGAGGGTAATCGGAGTACATCAGAAAAGGTCCAAAAGTGCTTGGAGGACCCACACTTTGTTATTTATTTGTGTGGTAGAAATAGTACAGCTGTATCAGTAACCTAAGTGTCCTCTCACGATCAGGATGTCCACTGTCTTCATCAGGGAAAGGTCCAAAAGTGCTTGGAGGACCCCCACGGGAGTTGAGGGTAATCCGAGTACAACAGAAAAGGTCCAAAAGTGCTTGAAGGACCCATACCGACTGAGAATCTGATGGTGGTTTGATCGTGGATTTTGTCTAATTATGGCCTTTTAATTGATTTATTTATTGACAGCCCATGAACGATGACACCATCATCAAAAAAATTTGCTGAAAAGACATGAGTCAACAGCTACTGAGTAGTCATTAGGGTTAGCTATGACCAATACTAGATTCTCCTGCCGTATTTATGACCAAAGCCATAGTATCTTGTGTTGACTTTCCGAATAATTCAAGTTTCCCTTCCAAAGATGTACAACAGTAACAGCTTCAACTCCACAATTAATGATCATTTCTTGCCACGGGCTGGGCATGTGGACTGTAAAAAAATGGTTGGGAAACTGTCTGGAATCGTTTGGAAAATGTCTTGCAATGTCCCAATTCTATTCTTGGTTGCCAAACCAAACTGCCAACAGTTGGCGGTTCATTGAAGTTGGTCTCCCGCGGAGGCCTGGAAGTGTGATACCGTAGATTATGGCAGGGAATCTACGTATTCCACGGTCCAATTCCATTTCCGGAACGCGTGGAAACTTCAGCTAGTAGCTTTCTAGTAGCGTGGAAGCTTTCATCCACAACAAAGCAAGCCAAAGTATGAAAGATATTCATTACTCCCTACCTTTGACGAGACTCTCATAAATTCAAGCCATCAACAACAGGCAACCAAGCAACCAAGCAACCAGAGCATTCAATTTCTGCAAGCCATCAGCAAGCCATCGCCCTCATCAACCAACATCATTTTTTACTAGCATCAAGATGGCCAACTCGCCCTCCTCCTCTCAACCAACTTGTGCTCGAGACTCCCTACTATGTGAATACAAGCTTTCTGAAGAGGACATTGAGAAGTTCAAAGCAAAGTTTGGCAATAACTCCATGGAATCTTTCGAAGCTGTGGTGAACTTCATGGATCAAATTGAGTCTTCTGGGGATTCTGTCCTTCTTCAGATGAATGAACCATTTGCACGAAACAAGCTCCTTGATGTAGTGGAGTGGAATCAACATCGTCGCTCCTTTGAAGCTGAGATGGATGACAAACGTCGTTCCTTTGAAGATAAGATGGATGACAAACGACGTTCCTTTGACACTGAGATGGATGACAAACGTCGCGCCTTTGACACTGAGATGGATGACAAACGTCACGCCTTTGACACTGAGATGGAGGAGATGCATCAGACCCACAAGGAGGTGATGGATATCGTGGAGGAAAAGCTCAAACTTCGTCGTCAAGAACGCTTTGTTGGAAGTCCTCCAGGAGACTCTCGTCCAGATGAAGTTGAAAAGCAAGTCTTCATGATTCCTAAACTGGCTAGTATTATCAATGCCATCTTCAACATCTCCAAACGTGTACCATTCTTCTTCATGAACATCTTCCTTTATCTCAAAGCTATGATCATGATTCCAGTCAATGCCATCTTCAACATCTCCAAACGTGTACCATTCTTCTTCATGAACATCTTCCTTTATCTCAAAGCTATGATCATGATTCCAGTCAATGCCATCTTCAACATCTCCAAAGGTGTACCATTCTTCTTCATGAACATCTTCCTTTATCTCAAAGCTACCATCATGATTCCAGTCAATGCCATCTTCAACATCTCCAAACATGTACCATTCTTCTTCATGAACATCTTCCTTTATCTCAAAGCTACCATCATGATTCCAGTGGCCAACGACAATGGCATCCACAAGGACAACCACATCTACAATGACAATGACAACGGCATCCACAATGACAACAGCATCCACAACGACAAGGACATTGACAACAACATCCACAATGACAAGGACAATGGCATTGACAAGGAAAAGGACAACGACAATGACATCCACAATGACAACCACATCCACAAGGACATCAACATCCACAATGACAATGACAAGGACAACGGCATGGACAAGGAAAAGGACAACCACAATGACAAGGACGACGACATCCACAATGACAAGGACATCCACAATGACAAGGACAACAGCATGGACAGGGAAAAGGACATGGACAATGACAACCACATCCACAATGACAACCACAATGACAATGATGACGAGGGTGACCATGGGGTCCATAATGAGAGTGACATCAAGGATTGGCAAGAGCAACAAGATGAAGTTCAATCCCTCTCCACAGAGGAGAACTTGGACCATGACCCTCAAATGAATCCAGCTAATGTCCTTGTTGGACTGGGTGGCTTGTCTGCTCATGATGTTGCTTCTATCAGAAACCAAGTGGAAGAAAATTACATGTTTTGCCTACAAGGCCTTTCTGACAATGATGTTGCTTACGTCAGAGACCTAATGGAAAAGGAAATAAACACTGCCATGTTGGAGCTCATGCATAAAAAGCGGACGGAGAGGCAGCAACGTCGAGATGAAGAAGACAGAGAATGTATCAGGCAACTGGAAGCACAGTTGGAGCATACCCGGGCTCAAAATGAGGCTCATGCTAAGCAACAAAATGATGCCTTGAATCCTGAAGTTGAGGAACCAACCAGCCCCACGCGCAGTCTTTGAATTGACGTTTCCACCCTACACACCCTATGGATTCTAAACTCCCATTGGCCAAGGCTGTATCTATTAGTAGGGTAGACTCAACTGGATTGATTAAGCATACCCCAGCACAAATGGATCTGTACATTGTCGTAGATTGTGTAGTATCCTGCTGTTTGTTTATTCTTCGTCCGGCACTACACACTCCTCTGGCGGAAAGAATCGACTTGCTACTGCCATTGAGGATCCAATCAAAGTCATCCAAACAATACTGACAGCTGCTGGAACCCTGACAGCAAATTCGGAAAAGTGTTGTGTAGCCAATAGGTACCCAAAGGCACTTGATTTCATAGCGAATTCAATGGCAAATGTTCGACATACATCTTCTCCATAGAATGGTTTGGTCAGAAAGTATCCAGCAACTCCACCAAGTGTGTGAAGCAATGCGGCCGATGCCTGTAATTGGAATCCTGCAGACATGATGGGTCCAGCACACCCTGCAACACTGACACCTACCAAGAGACAGGTGATCAAGACACCTAGAATGGGTGAAAAAGGCAAGATTTTCTGCACCACGTTTGGGAATTTTGCATTGAAGGTCATGCCAACAAGGATGGGTGCGAGCACCACTTGAATTGTGGAGAGAGCAATGGCTTGCGCATTGACGGGTACAACCGTTCCCAGGAGGAGTTTTCCCATGAGTGGTGTCATGACAATGGCTAGCAGACAGCGAATGAAGCAAACATGGAGTGAGTAGAGAGTCAATACAATAATAATATTCACGTTATTTGCCTGTCTTTCGATGGACTTACCTCCAATGGTGGTCATTGTTGTCATGAGTACGGATAGAGCCAAATCTCCTTGTCCAATGTACGTGCAAAGATTGCTGGCTTGAGCTCCATTAATACAAGAGACCAGTACGAGTCCAGCTGCCAAGGGCGGTGAGAGCCCCATAATTTTTCCAATGGCAAACGCCAATCCTGGCATGACTCCGTAACATCCCAAAAATGCTAAAAGAACAGCAGCAGGTCTCTGAGCCACGCGTTTGAAGTCACTTGGTTTCAACGAGATTCCCATGCACAACATGAGCATTCCAATTTGTGCTGGAAATGTACTGGCAGGAATGCTCAGAAAGGTAGAAGGCCGAGCCAATGCCGTGCCTGCAGTCAGGAGTGTCCAAATGGGAAATAGATTGCAAAATGCTTGAGCGTATTTGCGAAACTTGACCATTTGGGCTGATGGCTGTTCCTGCGGAACTGGCAGATCTTGGTCCAAGCTGGAGGTCGTACTTTCCCACAGAGCCGTGGTCTTCAGATTCTGCTTTCTGAATGACTGTCTGAGCACAGGAGAACTTGAAATTGTCAACTTTTTCAAACTTTTCAAGCTCAAAGCAGTCTGAGCATTACTGATAGCATTGGCATTAGTAAGGGCTTGTTGGCTGAAGGAGCTGCTGGGAACCACAAAGGCAGTCACTGGGATGACATGGAATCCTGATAACACCGTCAAAGACGCTACCGTTGATAAGTAAAAGTAAACCTTCATCTTGCTGCTTCGAAGAAAAAAGAAAATGGATTTGGGAAAAAATGATCAGATCTGGCTGCTTGTCAAGAATTCTTAGCTTCTTGATCCGACAAGACAAGGTCGATGATGTCTGTCTTTAAGATACCGTACAGTCGTACCCACCTTGGCAACACATCACTCTGAGGTTGGCGCTTTCCTTTTCCGCAACTTGAATGGGCCATCGTGGTTGGTCGGCTTCAAAAAGGTATCTTCTGGAAAAGCTGACGTGTCAACCTGGTTGAGCTGCCAAAGTTTGGTTCCTGGAAATCGATCTCGGCATCTTGGATGTTGCTCTTGGAACTTGGAAGCTTGCAGGCTACCATATCCTTGACTGAATAATTTTCCGTCAAGCTTGTCATGGATTCCAACTAACTGTGTCATAGTATACCCGTACTTGTCTGCATACTAGCTAGTAAACCAAAGTCTAGCTCCTTTCCGACCTCTGGTTGTACAGTTGGAATAATTGCTGTCATGTTTGCCATACCGCTACCTGGTGGTTGCTGTCTGACGATGCCGCCCAGCCGCAGTTCTTCATGTAAGGAGGTTTAGGCTAGGAAGGATATCTACGGAAGCCAGGCTTAATAAAGCAAAGAAGAGTCAAAATCTCAGGACTCGGTTAAAAAGTGGGATCAGGAGAGACTGCGACTTTGTTCATTTGCTATATTTGAAAGTCTGACTTGACTGAAATGTTGCTTCTTGGATGGCCTTGTTGGGAGAGAATACATACTGCTGTGATGAATGCTGAGTGGAAGCAGCCTTTCTTGTACAATGTAGATGATTGAGTCTAGTAGAGCTGGTGCTTGTCTGTGGGTTGTGGGCTGTCAAAGCTGGGGCAGGAGAGACCAGTGACTGGAAAAGTCCTGAAAGAATTCCACGCACCCTCGGCGGAACGTCTTAACCATTCTCGATGACTTACACGCTCCCATTACCTAGCATCCATACCCATGCATAGCCAGCTTCTAATAAAGAGTGGCAGCAATCTAGCTAGCTACTAGATAGGGAATGAAGCAGGATGTCATCGCCTTCACCATCTACCGGTAACAAGCGTGGGCACACCAATGCAAAGTCTTCCAAACTACGTGGTAGCAACAAGACGAACCAGCACAACAAGAGGAAGCAGCAACGACACGCTCATCAACGCCTTCAAGCACTGCTTCGAAGATCGCAAGCCAGCAGTGCGGGCAATGAATTGATATCTTTGATCTATGAAAACCCGTCTCTGGCATGTCGCAGTGTTGACGGCGTGACTCCATTGAAAGTGCTGCTGGAATCCGGGGTCAAGTTGGACGTCATACAAGAGTTTTGCAAAAGGTTCCCACGCTCCGTGGAAACCCCCTCTCACGTCGACATCATGGAGGAGCTTCCTCTGGAGACTGCATGCTACCAACACCACAAGACCGCGCGAGGAGTCATTCCCTTTCTCGTCCAGCTAAAAGTCAATGATCTAGAAGGTAACAGCGTCTGGGGAGAACGACTCCTCACCGCGTTGAACCGCATACTAGTGTTTTGCAATGCTGCCACCCACACTGCAAAGCGACTGGAAGATATCGAAGCACTGCTTCAGGCGGTCAGTCGCACAGGGATACTAGAGTCGCAGCGTGAAGCGCAAGGGCGACTCTTGACTTGGGCGTTTCAGTGCTCCGATTGTACATACGGCGATCTACTTGATCTCGTACTGCCGTACTGTTCCGACGCCACACACATCTCTATTTCCTATGAAAACTACACCACAGTACGGCGACAACAAGATCTTTCGGCCTCACTGGCCAAGCTAGTGCCACAACTGACACACTTGGATCTGCATGTTTGCTGGCAGGTTCGAGACCAGCATGCGTGGAGGCACTTCCTAGTTCAGGCATTGGCACAAGATGCGAAACATCTGGAATCACTTCAACTCAAGTTTTGGAAAGAACCAAACAATGACAACGCATTGCCAGAACCTCTGCCAGGATGGATATTCAAAGCCCTCGTGGACTGCTTTGTTTCATCGTCTGCGTTTCCAAATCTTCAAGAGTTGGTACTGGAGACACGACCGGGAATTTTGGCAAAAGACCACGGAGTGGCGGAAGATCTCACAATGTCATTGGCCACCCTCCTTGGAAAGAACAATCTGCGACAATTGACAGTCATTCACTTCTGTCCCCGGTATCAACCTCTCGTTGATGCCTTACAAACCAACACTAGTCTTCAGCGTTTTGAGGTTCCTTTCTGCACCAATGCCAAACCAAAACTCCAGGCCTTGCACGACACAATCGTCCAACAAAACAACACGACCTTGTTACATGTCAATGGGCTGCGGGAGGACCATTTATCGGAATTGATTCGACATCGTTGCAATTTGAACCGAAAGGGTCTTCGGACAGCCCAAAACCCGGATACACCTATAACAACACTTCTCGACATTGTTGCAGACGCTATGGACGACAATTGGGGATATCGAATCAGTGGTGACACCAGCGCTGGCTTTGCGTTTGCGATGCTCCGCGGATGCCCCAGCATTTGGTGTGGAGTGAAGAGACCGAAGGTCTTACGAATACATGTAGCAACCCAAAAATAGCCAGCATTTTGGTTTTGAACTAGCACGGTATATTTCGTTCGCCTTGGTGTTTTGGAAGGTGCCAAAGAATAAGACGTGCTAGCTAGTAGCTTGTCAAGCTGGCTGTAGACTGTTTCCTTTCGGCAAACACGCTATACGGTAGCTAGGGTTGTGACGTCTGAATGACCTTTGCCAGCCATTCGTCTCACTTCCACAACTCCAGAAAGCGATGTCAGTTTGAGGGACACTTGCTGAATGGATTGATCATGAGTTGATGCCATCCAAAGATCAAATGGGACTGCACGTTGTTTACCGCATCCTGGAGTTAGTTCCTGTAGAGAGGTCTAACGACAAGCTTTTTGACTCCCAATCCTGTAAAGACATCTTCAAACAACTTGAGCTTCTGGGGCCCTCGACGAGCCAATCTGATGGCTCTCCGCTGGGACCTTCCTTGAGTCTCAGTTTTGTTGATCCAAGCGAAAATGAAGAGTATGGTAGCTAGAGTGCTAGAGTAAAGTAATAGAAAGCAGTAGACAGCTGTACTATTTAGCTTTGGCTTCCGTTCTCAATTTCTTTCTAGTTTGCTAGTGCTACCAGTATGGTATAAAGGGGCCACAAAGATCCTTGATGGTTCCCATTCAATGCTGTTCCAATCTACTAGACTAGCTAGGCTTGGGGGTTCCAGCATGATCAAACTCTGGCTTGATCAAGGCCATCAATTCAGTGGTAGACAGCGCCATTGTTGCTCTCGGAGCCAGAGAAGGTTTCAATTTGGTTTATAATAATAATAATGCGGTAACTGGGCTTCCACGCTGGCAAGCTACCGCATGGTCCATGTCACGCACCTCCGAATTCGCGAACCTATGTGACTGTACATGTACTCATGATCAGTACCGCGGTACACGACTGCATTGGAACAAGACCAACCATGCTTGGAACAAGACCAACCATGCTTGGAACAAGACCAACCATGCTTGGAACACGACTGATTCTGCCACCAACGAGTCCCCCCACCATGAAACTAAACACCTTGTCCCCCACCATCTCCATCACTAGTAGCACTGCACCTGAAACCAGCCTGCCAACCTCCAGTCCATCCACTGCAAGCCCTACAAATGATCCCACTGCCAAACCAACCTTCTCACCCACCAATGCGCCCAGTCTTCCTCCTACCGATACTGACACACCTACTAGTACGCCCACGCCGGAACCCACCACTCAGACTCCTACTGCACAACCCACAGCAGCTCCAACCACCAGCAGCCCATCTGTTGCTCCCACCACTATGGAAGTAGTTCAAATCTTTGGAACCGACTACGAGGTTGCCAGCACGGAAGTATTGAGTTTGTCCGGTCAAGGCATTGGTGGTTCCATTCCGACAGAGATTGGTCGTTTGACCGGCTTGACATTTGCATTTCTCGAAGACAACCAGCTGACGGGGCAGTTGCCATCAGAGATAGGTCTACTAACCTCGCTGTATGCTTTGAACCTGTACATGAACGAACTCACAGGAACGATTCCTGCAGCAGCATTGGCAACGCTGACCGATTTGACCATGTTGAGTTTGAGCAGCAATCCCTTTTCACCAGGAACGATTCCGTCCGCCGAGATTGGCTTGCTGACATCCCTGACACATTTGGGTTTGTCCAATGCCCAACTCACAGGCCCCCTTCCCTCGGAACTTGGCTTGTTGACAAGCTTGACTGGGTTGTGGCTCAATCAGAACCAACTTGGTTCCACAATCCCCACCGAACTAGGAATGCTCTCGACTATGTTGGAGTCTCTGTGGCTGTTTGACAACAACTTGACAGGTGAAATCCCGTCGGAAGCAGGACAAATGAAAGCTCTCAAGTACGTACGGTTGTATGAGAATGAGCTCTCTGGGCAGGTGCCTTCTGAGATCGCCATGCTTTCCAATTTGTCCATCTTGAGTGTGTCGGACAATCGCTTGCAAGATGGGATTCCGTCCAACATTTGCTCAATCCCCAATCTTGAAGCCATTTGGGTGGATTGCTCCCCCTCTCCATTTCCAGTCGAGTGCTCCTGTAGTCAGTGTGTCTGTGCCTAGTATGGTAGCAAGAGTCTAGATAGCTAAAAAGACATGTGTATACCTGTCTGGAAAGTCAACGATATCAACTACATCTACATCTACATCTAGCTATTAGGCACTTTGTTCCGACTTCATCTCTAGCTAGCTAGCTACCGGTAGTAGCCACTTGAATAAGAGACTTTTATACGTTGCAAATAAATAGTTTACTGAGATCAAAGAAACCCAAACTAAGGGGAAGTGTTGACCCAGGACGGACGATACGGTATGAATGATCAACCCAGCCAATCAATCATCAATTTCTAGTGCAAGACCGAACCGTCGTGGCTGGACGGAGAGAATCCCGCATGATCAAGCTCCAACACGGCTGCGTTGTTCTCCAGGCCGAACTCCTGTAATCCACGCATCATCTCAGCAGCATTGTTGCGACGAATCTCCTCTATCTCAGCAAAACCATTGCGACGCAACTCCTCCATCTCAGCATCATGGGCAGCAGCACGGGCATCATGGTTGCGCCGCAACTCCTCCAACTCAGCAGCACGGATGCGACGGATGCGACGGATGCGACGGATGCGACGGATGCGACGGGCTGCTTCGCGCCTCTCGTCACCGGCCTTGATGACTGATATCGTGAGGTGGTTTTGGATCTTGGTGTATTCATCCTTGGCTTTGTGTTCCTGAAGACGGAGAGGCCCGTAGCGGTCGTCATTTGGTTCGCCAGAACGCTCAATTTCCTTGTATGCCGCCCCAATGCGTTTCATCTCGGCGTCATAGCGACGCCGGTACTTGGCGTCTGCTGCAGAGAGTCGTTGAATCTCGGTCTCATAGCGCTTGGTTGCCTGTTCGTAGCGTTCCTCTTCAGAAAGGTCTTCTTTGTCCATCAAATCGTCACTGTCGGCACGAGCACCATTGATCTTCTCGTCATCTTCTGCTGTCTTGATCGTGCAGGCTTCTTGGCGACGTTGTTCCCGCTGGCTCTTGTCGTCTTCTGCACGTCGTGGAGGATCACGCATCATGGCATAAACCGAAAGGTTGCGAGGTTCGGAGGTTGATTCCGGTAGTCATTTATCTTGACATTTTCCTTATTTATGGTTCCGAAATATCTCTGTAAGTCTCCCAACTCCCAACCTCTGAACCTAATTTTATTTCTGAACGCTCCCAGTGTTGGACTAGCTGGTGTTTCAGGGGATACTGCTGCTGGCAACGTTTCAGTCGGCAGAGCAGGGTCAATAGCAGGTGATGGTTGCGCCATGACAGGTCCCCGTGTTGGACCATTCGCGATGGGAGGAGAAGGCACCATTGGTAATGATGTTTGGAGGAGCCATATGTGCTTGGGAAGCTGTGTATTTGTTGCATATCTGGTCGTGTAGGGCTCGTCAGTGCTCAGTCTGGGCTTGGGATTGGGCATCTTTGCCGTGCCTATCTTCATTGCGGGCACGTAATAAGAATCACGCCCATCTTGTTTGAATGATTCAATGATTCAATCGAATCGCATCCTTGAAATTCTGGAGTGAGGACGTGAGGACTGGAGTCGCTCGCCGCCATCTTGCTTGGCCGTCCCAAGAAGGAAAACTAGGGGATCAAGCATTCGCCAAACCTGCCTCGAACAGCAGTACGGGTAACCGCGTACTCACGCCAAATTGGTGAGCATCACAGAGAAACCCCTGTCGTGAATGCCAATAGCTAGACCATGTACCGGTATGATCTTGCCGGCCCCGCCTTTGCTTTGCGTGCATGACAATTGAGCTGCGGGCTATTGAATCATTCATTCTGGCAATTGACTGTCACTCCAGTCGCTCCAGTTGATGAAGACGGGGAGTTTTGTTTTTTAAAGGTACTGTATGTTTTCCTAATGGATGGGCATTGATGAAGCTACTGACTACAGGCGAGCTACCGTAGATACAAGCTCATCGTTAGTTACTCTCCCGGCCGTCTTCAATTCCCATCCCAACGGAGTTCAAGCACGCACCGGTTCATCCGTGATTGTGATTGTTGCGGTGCGAAACAGATCTCAGTGGCTTATTTCAGATTCGCGGAAAGATCGCATCAACGCCAAAGCCAACGGGTGTAGAAGGATCGATCAACGAAAGTCAAGATGTGCGGCGATCTCCTGGCTGGGTGGATGATGCATCGATGAAGCTGCTGACTACATGCGAGCTAGCTAGCTATGCAAGCTCATCAAACTGGTTTCATAGTTTTAGGACACAAGAAAGATCATGGGTTCTCATGCCAGAACAACGTCGATCCTCTACGGTACTAAAGACGCAACGATCGCAGCGAGTCGAAGCTTTTGGAATAAAGGTGATTGTCTAAAGGGCGGCAACTCTTCCTGCGCATTGGGCAAACCTGCATGGTGGAATATCCTCCCCCGCAAGGAAGGAATCCATCGGCCTAGTGGTGCAGCAGAGAAAGTCGGAATCGGGTGGATGGGCGCCAATCGGATCGTGACATGAGGCCATGTGGTTTCCGGCTGGTACCAGGTACGTGTGCAAGGCATTGGGTGTGGAGACAACTCCGGTCGTCCCCTTGAAAGTGCTTTGGTATGGACCAATGTGGGTGGTGTCCATGAGGAACGACGACTCGACTCGTGTGCAGTTGAGTGGAGCGCTGGTGCTCTTCCTGCAATAAATGTTGGGCAGAGTAGGGAAGGAGGGGGCGTAGGTACATAGATGTTCCATTCCAGTCTGCCCTGAGGGTTGGTAGTGGGGAAATGCACATGGATCACCACAGGCAGCACAGAGATCGCTTGCTGTCTTTTCCTCTTGTTGTTGTTGTTGTTGTTGTTGTTGTTGTTGTTGTTGTTGTTGTTGTTGTTTGTTGTTGTTTGTTGTGTTGTTGTTGTTTGTGTTGTTGTTGTTGTTTGCTGGTTGTTAGTTGTTGTTGTTGCGTGTTGTTGTTGTTCAAGTATAGTAGATGGTCTTGTTGTTGTTGTTGTGTTGTTGTTGGTTGTTGGTGTTGTTTGTTGTGTTGTTGTTGTGTTGTTTTTTGTTTGTTGTTGTTTGTTTGTTTGTTGTGTTGTTGTCGTATGGTTGTTATGTTGTTGTTGTTGTTCGTTTGTTGTTGTTGTTTGTGTTTGTTGTTTGTGTTTGTTGTTGTTTGTTGGTTTTGTGTGTTGTTGTTTTGTTGTTGTGTTGTTGTTGTTGTTGATTGTTTGTGCTGGTGATCGCTGGCAACCTTGTGATCTAACAGTTTGGAACCACCAGTTCCAGTTCTTGTGGAAAGGTGGACCATGGTGCTAGCTAGCCTGAATGGAGCCCCAACAGAGTGTGTGGTGTGGAGCTGGGTGTGGCTGGCTGGTCTCATTGTGTTGGCTGGCAAGCCCGATTCTAGTTTGTGGATGGCAATGGCTTGTTGCTGGTCTAGATAACAAACTTTTAAAAACAAGTTTTGGTTTAGGTTGATTTGCAGTAGATCACAGTGGTCTACGGATTTTCCCCCATATCTGTAATAAGTACCGGTACCAGTAGTTTTGAGAAGACTTAAGGACTGCCGGACAATTGACGATTCGAGTCGTGTATAAATCAGAATCTATCCTAATCAATTTTTGGAGCCGTCATTCGTACATTCACTCATTCCCACTCCAACCTACCCTTATGTCCTGTTTCTAGCTAGCTATGCATAGACAGAGTGGAGTCGTCAAAGTGGCCTCCACCCCTCTCTATCGCGACATCGCGACATCGCGACTTTTTGCCACCCCCCCCCCCAAACACACACTCTCACCACTCACTTGCGACTCGGAGATGATGTCATTGATGCTGCCGCGATCCATCATGGAAATGCTGAACCTACATGTAGTACCTAGTACTACCTACTTTC